CCCCATGTACCCCCCCCGTCCCACCAAGCTCTCTCTCATATCTTCGTAGAAATTTCCTGATTTCCTGACTTTCAGCAATTTTAAATCTTTTTTCCTTGTAGAAAAAGGAGATCCCTTCTGGAAACTCCCATCTATGTTGAATGCCGTTCTTCCTTAAGATATTTACTAACTGTTTGTAGCCCTCTCTCTTGCGAAGGAGTCTAATTGGAATTTCTTTGAAAATGATGATTGGTCTTCCATCTATCACCAGTTTCTTCTGGTAACTTTCTCTTAGAATCTTATTTTTCAGCTCCGTCGATTTGAAGATTACCAGGCAGTCTCCTGAAATCTTTCTTACTCTGTTTTGTTTAGGTTTTACTTTTATTCTAAAAGCATTTTCTATTTCTTGTGTGACTTCTTCCTCCTTTAAATTTAACCATCTTGCCAATTCTCTTATCATTTTCCCCTTGACATCTTCGTTAACCTCCTCTCCTACCCCTCGGAATTTTAAATTTAGTTGTTTTTGTTTCATTTCCATCATTGCCAAATTGTCCAGAAATTGCTCCTGGCTCTTGTTTAATTCTTCAAAGTTCTCTTTTATTTTCTCAAACTCCTTTCTCTGATCTCTTATCTCTTTTTGTGTTTTTTTATTTGAATCTTCCAGAGATTTGGTTCGAGTCGTTAAATCTTTTATCTTATTTGATAGTTCTCCCACCGCCCCTTCTATTTTCCTATCTATTGATTTCTGCATCTCTCCTAACTTTTCCTCCATGTGAATCTCATTCTGCTTAAATTCTTCTTTTATTTTCAACCAAAGTATGTCTAAGTCTTTTATTTCTTCATGGCGTGACGTTTTCCTTTCTGCCGGGGTACCCACTGCTTTCTTCCCTTCCTTTCCTGCCATCCTCCCCCTCCTATATTTACAAAACAAAATAGATTTACGTTTTTACGTTTTTAAGACTCTCCCTTAGGGGGCGTACAATCTTATAGAAGCCACTTAATTATTCAGGCAGCAAGTCCCGCCCACCCCCACCCCTTTGGCCGTTATAACAATACTTCTTTGAAGAGAATGTTGTAAGGATCGAAAAATAAAAAAAAAAAAAAAAAAAAGGGGAGGGGTACACAGGAAACGAAGGTACACAGGAAACGAGGGAAATTTGATGCAACGAGGGGGTAGGATCCCAAAATAAGTGTCAGGGAGAAAACAAAGATGTTAGAAGACCAGAATCTGTTGTATTGCTTTTCTTCTAGAAACTTCGGCCACTTTTCTGGCCTAATCCGCTTTTTATATATCAGAGGGCTTTGTCAGGAAGACGGTGTCTTTTGTCCCCCTGCTGGAGTCCGAAATAGCGATTGGGGAAAAGAGCTGATGGGGCACGGAAAGGGGGGAAAGCGGGGAGGAGCTTTTTTCAAAAGAAAGGGGATTTTGGGGGAGGTTGGATTATTTTTCACAATTACATAGTGCTGGAGACCCTAATTTAATGCACATGCCCTCACAAATGCTCTTCCATGTGCTATGAGTTGTAATCCAACAAACCATGTGAATGGAATTCAGTCAGAAGATCGTCAATTGATTAGAACTATACTGTGCGCTTTTGATTGGAAATATATATTTCTGTAAAAATAAATGGGAAAAGACTAGCCTCTAAACACTGACAAATAGCCTGTCTTCTTTCAGGATAAGGAAAAATAATTAAGGGCTACTCTTGTTCAAATTGGGTTGAAACCACTGCTGTGTTTCAAAGTGCCTGTTTGCAAGGCTAAGTGCTCTGTGCATTGCCATTTGAGCACCACTATCATGCCTCTGTGAACATTGCGCACTACTTAATTAGTTGTATATAGACTACGCTGCGCAGGCAAAAATTATCGGGAACTGGGAATTACTTTATTAATCTAGAACAAAAACAAATAGCAAAGAACAAAGCCATAGACATAAGCCTGACACCATAATTTTTACACTCTGCTTCCCTTAATTAACTTTCAAGCAGCCAGATGTATGCCAAACACTAAAAATAGGTGCAAGGAAGAAGAAGATATACGTTATGTGTACAAATTCTGATTAAAAATATAGTACTTACAGTATCCAAATATACTCATACTCACCTAATTAATTCTTGTTATTATTTGCTATCATATTAAGTACCCCTGCCCGTACGGGCCAATCTTGACAGACTCTAGGGTTGTGCGCCCATCTCACTCTAGAGGCCGGGGGCCAGCGCTGTCCGGAGACACTTCCAGGTCACGTGGCCAGCATGACATCGCTGCTCTGGCGAGCCAGAGCCGCACACAGAAACGCCGTTTACCTTCCCGCTAGTAAGCGGTCCCTATTTATCTACTTGCACCCGGAGGTGCTTTCGAACTGCTAGGTTGGCAGGCGCTGGGACCTGAGCAATGGGAGCACACCCCGCCGCGGGGATTCAAACCGCCGACCTTTCGATCGGCAACCCTAGGCGCTGAGGCTTTTACCCACAACGCCACCCGCATCCCATTATTAAGTACATATAAATATGTTTAAAAGAACTAGTTAAATATGCAAGTTTAAAACCCTATTGGCCATCTTATAGATTGGATACTTAAGATGTTCTACACATCTGACGACATCTCCAGATTTTGAAGTTATGATGCTGCAATATTATGCCCACTTACCTGGGGGCGGGGGGGGGCTCGGTCCCGTTGGATTCCAGTCTACTGGAAGCAATGTAAAGCCATCATAACTAGAAGTCATTGACAGTTTTAGCCTCCATAAAGTTATCTGATTTGTTTTTTCCCATTCCTTTCTTTTTTTTGATGAAAGGAAATCTGTCCCCTTATTTCTTTACATCCCTGTTTACAGAAGTGACCTTTTAAAAGTCTCTGATTTTAACAACAAAAAATGCTTCAAGATGCCTCTTATGTCCCTCATCACACTTGTATTCAGTGCACTTTCTTCTAGAAAAGTAAGTGCTGAAACTCACCATGAGCGCCTCCCTCGTTCTCTTAAAATGGCAATGGTGCCCACCTGAGAGGTGCCATAATTGAGTTCCAGTGAGTTCCGGCTGAAAAAAAGCCCTGCTTGTACTATTGTATTATTCAGCAAGACTTTAATAATGTTAACTGCAAAGACAATGCAGCGTGCCACCCTTTGCTACCACTGCCACCAGTGCTAGCTGTGACAGCTGTGCTGCCTGGGGTACCTGGAGCTGGTTGTAGTGCAAAATATCTAGAAGGCACCAGGTTGGCAAAAGTTGTTTGATAATGACTTCCAAGTATTTTATCCAGTTAATTTTCACTGTGTCCAAACTAATCCCATTTTTCAGGCATCAAAATTTGACTCAAAATATGTGTGCACAGATAACTATAATAGATCAGATCATCCATTCTCCTTATATTGTATAATCAGTTGCACAGTGGAGAGAATCTGAAGCCTTAGCACAATCTAGGATGTTGCAAAATGATCGCTGCATCATTAGTATTTCCTACAACACTTGCTTCGTGTAGCAAAGCAAACAGAGAAAACGTCCCTTAAGGCGAGAGCAGCGGAGCCAAAATACCTTGCTCAGCTGGCAGGCAGCCTCTAGAAATCAGATGCCAAATGTTAAAGGTTTGAGAGTGTGGCACTATAACCAAACTGAGTGCTTCTAGGGTTATAGAGGAAGATTAAACATAGAGGGATATTCTCTCCTATTCATTCAAAATAACACATAGGGCATCCTTAAAGCCATTTCAAAATTAGAATGCTTAAAAGCCAAACAATATGATTTCTTTAAAAATAAAACAGCAAGACCAGTTTCTTCTGAACTGGTTACTTATGGCATGGTTATAAACCAGTCAAATCAAGGGTGGATCAATTAATTAATTTTAAGTGAGAGAAAACAATAGAATTACAGCTTCATCAAGGAATTTGCTTTACACTGATCTGCTATGAAATTAAAGCTTGTCTTCATCTAAGCCTAACACTGCTGAGAAGAAATAGATTTCTGTTCCACTTGTAACTGCAAAGTAAAGCTGGATTTCTAAAGGCCAGCAGTTCAGATAAAGCAGAATCAAATCATGTTGGCAGTGTTTTGCTCATATACAGCATAGTCCTATACACTCTGAAAAACTTGTTAAACGGCTTAAAATAGCCAACTGCATGTTTTGAGCTTGGACTGAAACAAGCAGTTTCTAAGCAAGAGCAATGCATCTTGGGAGCCCGCACACCTTAAATGTCAGGGGGCCTTAGGAAGAAAACTTTTATTCACAGCCCATCATTAAACAAAAAAGCTTTCAGGTAACTTCAGCAACCTCTTCTCCAGCTCCCACCAACTAGGGCTGGCAATCTGCACTTTTAAGGGTCGCATAAAACATGGATTCACCAGGTGCAACTTTTTCCACCACAGAGATGCAGTGACAAGACAAGCAGCAGCTGGCAACATTTTCTCATACTCTCATGCAGTGGACAAACATACGGAGTCAATTTCCCCCCAAATTAAATTTATCTGGTCTTCTTCAGCTTCACAGTCCTGAAATTTTGAGATGAGCACTCTTGATTGCAACCCATGGATTGCAACCCATTTCAAGACCTATCATCATGGATACCCAATGATAACAGTCTTCAAAAATAAATATTTTTTTGTGTGGAAAATGGGTAAGGATAATACATGGTTTAATCTCAAACTAATTTAAGGTAGTGGGGGAGAAACTCATACTGGGGGAAATGCTGTGAATCGTACTCTTCTCAGAAAAGGCATTCAGGAACTCAGTACTAACTGGGGGCCAAATCTGAAGAGGACCCCAAGTGTTTAGGTACAATTGGAGAGAGGTTTTCATTAAAAGTTCAGCAACCTGTTTGGGACAATTGCGGAGGGAATACACCCACACATACAAACACTAATTCTACATAGTCAACATAATAGTACCCCATTATCAGTAGACATATTTGGATGGGAAGAATTTCATGAACAACTCTTTATAGGAGAATAAAAACAATTTGGACAAAGCTGGACAGAAATGTCTTTGTATGTATCTAGTGCTTCTTTGAGGAAGAAAGAAAAACTCTTCACCTCAGTCTCCAAGAACCTTCGCAAAGCCCTCTTTTTTTTGATGCTCTTGCGCCTCACATAAACTGCAAACGTCAAGCCCAGAATGACGATGATGAAGAGTCCTCCAATCACTCCGGCAGCTATCAGGGGCGTTCTGTGAATCAGGAGCGAACAGTTAACTGTGAGTCACAGGAGCAGGTTGTGTGCATGCTTATAAATTAAATTTTGTGAAGTGTAAGGATTTGTGAAGTTAGTATTGCAACATTTCAAAATCACACAAAAACACAGTACGATTTGTGACAAAGTTTTTTTCTTTATCACATTCTGTTCTGTTGTTGTTTTTTTAAGCAGGCCATCATGCATGTTTGATGGGGAAGGAGGGCCCTTGTAGAGAGGAGGCAGACAATTACCATGTGTTTTGATGACAAATGAAAACACTGAATGGGGAAACAAAGATTCACAGTGCAAGGGCTCCTCTCTGACATTAAATGCCAATCAGAGATGCTCCACAATATTTGCACGAAGAAACTGCTACCCTAGGTAGAACCATGGGACAGGGTATTGCCAGAGGCCAGTCCAGCCCACCCATGAGGCAAGGGGCAGCAGATCTGGCCTCCAAGGAATGCATTGACCACTGCTGCTTCTGCCACTGTGGCCACAACAGCTATGGCATGCTCTTTGGAGGCTGGATCTGCCTCCTCCTTAGCAGCCTGCCCCTAATTCACTGCTACAGCAGCTGCTCAGTGAACAGGAGGCACTGCAGGTCTCTCCGCACTCCTAGGGAAGAAATGTCAGGGGCTACCCTCTAGTCTCCTGGTCTCTGCATTCACCTGGTATGATTCAGAGCAGGTCCTTTTCTTCCCCATGAGAGCCTTTGATTCCCACTTCCCCCCTTGTCCTTGATAGAGATATTCACTCACCCCTCCTTCCCTGGAGAGGGTCGCCATGTTGTGGTTCACCTTAGGTGCCAAAATGAATTGGGCCAGCTCTGGCCAAATGTAGTAATTCACACAAAAAATGGGTTTTCCCCACAGAAGTAAAGACTGTGCCTTGCAATTCCATGCAGCCTATTACTGTGAGCAGTTATTTTTGCAACTCGGGCATTGAGCATATTACTAGAAGTCATATCTAGTCATAAGAAGTTGAAAGTGGACTGTGCTCACACCAGATTCTCATTCCATTTGGGGACATTGATTAGTCCTGCTCAAATTGTCTGGAAAATGTTTTAAATTTGATTCTGGCAACAATACACCGACATTTTTAAGGGATAATAAACCCATCTAGTCCAGCTTCCTATGCAAAAGCAAGATCCTCTAAAGTAATAGCTTATCTTAGCTGAACCATGTTATAGTGTTAGGAAGATGAATGAAAGGTCAAGAAATTAGGGATCAGTTGCAATTTCAACAATGCCTCAAAATGAATTGTGACCTATTCAATACAATTTTGTCAAATCTCTCTGAGAAAATGTCAAGGTAGGAGTCTCATGGATGCCATTTGGGTAATATTATGAGAACTGTGTTTAAGTAGCAATATTCATATAATACATTATACAAAGAAAGAGGTTTCCAATATTTATAACATTTGTCCTTGCAACCATCCTATGAGGTAGGCCACTATTTTTCCAACATCAGGTAGGCAAATGGGCTAGTTTTGGAAAACCGCAAATCTACGCAGAAAAATTATGGCTGAGAAGCTGCACCTAGCATTTTTCCCTTTGAGTCACACTCATCTGTCATTATTATTTTACACTATGCTTCTCCAAATGAAAATGAAAATTAAACACAGTTGAGTCCCATTAGTTTCAACTGGATTTAGGTATCTTTAACTTGCACCCACTGAATTTAACAAATTGATTAAATAAGCCTAGCTATAAAGTGTTTTTTGCATGTGTGTGTGTGTGTGTGTGCGCTGCGCAAGGCCCCACAAGGACTTGTCACCTCTTCACAGTCCATCCATTTCTGTGTGAGAGGAAACTGGAGTAATGTGGTGTGTAGGGCTGTAGGGAAAAGGGGAAATCAGAGGAGCTTTGTGTGTGCAGATAAAAGACACAACCCATCAGAAGGAGAATCCTAGAACTAGCGGAAGATGACTGCTTACCACCTAATGGCAGACCCTCCAAGTGTCCCTATTTTCCAAGGAGAGTTCCAGATTTACAGACATTGTCCCGGTTTCTGATTTGATCCCAGAATGTCCCGCTTTTCCTTAGGACGTCCCTATTTTCACTGGAGAAATGTTGTAGGGTATGGTGTTATGCAACCCCCGAACCAAGGAGATAAGTTATTATACAACTTTTAGAAGACATCTGAAGGCAGCCCTGTATAGGGAATTTTTTTTAAAAAAAATGTTTAATGTCTTGTTATGTTTTTTTTTTTATATCTTGGAAACCGCCCAGAGTGGCTGGGGAAATCCAATCAGATGGGAGGGGTATAAACAATAAAATAATAATAATAATAATAATAATAATAATAATAATAATTTTCATCGGAGAAAATTTTGGAAGGTATGCAATGGTGAAACTTGATGTAAGGAGGTAAAAACATGCCTCCACCCATTACGTGCTGCTTCTCAATTTGGTGTCTATATGTTCTGATAAATGCTAAAGACAGATCCAAATGACTGCTGTCCTTTTTCATTTTCAAAGGAATAGCAGCGACTGCTTCTTTGACCCCGAGTGCATTGACAACACCTGAGATCTTTTGCACTGGGCACCACTGAGCTAGCAGGGCAGCAGTTGAAGAAGGAGCAAAAAAGGTTTTCTTGTGTGTGTCTTTGTGGCTGATTAGCTGTTCTCCCTGTGCAAAGGTCAGAGGGGGCAGGGTTTCTGTTGAGGCAGGTGATTAGCTGTGGGAGGAGCTTATCAGAGCTAGCAGGGCAGCAGTTGAAGAAGGAGCAAAAAGGGTTTTCTTGTGTGTGTCCTTGTGGCTGATTAGCTGTTCTCCCTGTGCAAAGGTCAGAGGGGGCAGGGCTTCTGTTGAGGCAGGTGATTAGCTGTGGGAGGAGCTTATCAGAGCTAGCAGGGCAGCAGTTGAAGAAGGAGCAAAAAGGGTTTTCTTGTGTGTGTCCTTGTGGCTGATTAGCTGTTCTCCCTGTGCAAAGGTCAGAGGGGGCAGGGTTTCTGTTGAGGCAGGTGATTAGCTGTGGGAGGAGCTTATCAGAGCTAGCAGGGCAGCGGCGCGCGCCTAGCGGTGCGCGCAGTTTGATCCATCTTTTAGATTTAGGGGAGCTAGTCTCAAACGTTTGTTGGGGGAGACCTAGGGTTTTTTTGTGTGTGTGGGGAGTTATTTGTCCTGTCTTCACACTTTTTATGATGGAGGACCGCTGTAGCCACCCCCAACGACACGTACTCAAGATGGAGGAGGAGGGAACAGCTGCAGTCGCCTGCGGTTCCTGCGCAATGTTTGCCATCTTGCCAAAGATTGCAGGCAGCTTTACCTGCAGCAATTGCATGTTGATTGCTCTCTTAAAAGACAAAGTCCAGCAACTGGAGGAACGTGTAGCTACGCTCCAAAGAATTAGAGAGCTGGAGCTCTTCTTGGAAGCAACAGAGCACACCGTCTCCACCAAGGAGGAGACAGGGGACTCCCCTGTGAAGGAGGCTAGCTCACCAACACAGGAGCCAGATATATGGAGAAACGTGACTCAAAGAAGTAGGAGGCCCAGGGTTCGCTCTGATTGTTTAGAAATACGCAATCGCTTTGAGGTCCTCTCCCCTAGCATGGAAGACGAAGAGCACACTCTATTTGAGGATCTCTCCCTCATTACAGTCGATCAGGTATATGAAGACGACCAGCAAAGTCAGTCCTCAGGGAATGTGCAGGCGACCTTGGAACGGACAGCTCACGGAAGAACCCCGACCAAACCTAAGAGGAGGCGTGTAGTGGTGATAGGGGATTCCCTACTGAGGGGAACAGAAGCAGTGATCTGTGGGCCTGACAAGATGTCTCGGGAAGTGTGCTGTCTCCCCGGGGCTAAGATCCAAGATGTAACTGAACGACTGCAAGGAATCATAAAACCCACTGACAAATACCCCTTCCTCTTGGTTCATGTGGGAACCAATGACACTGCAAGCAATAGCCTCCAGAAGATCAAAAGAGACTACGAGGCTCTCGGCAGGAAATTGAAGCAACTAAATGCACAAATTGTCATCTCATCTGTCCTCCCAGTTGAACGACGTGGCCCAGGGAGAGAGGGAAAAATAGTGGAAGTGAACAGCTGGCTTCGCAAATGGTGTAAACAGGAACGGTTTGGATTCTTAGATCACGGACTGCAGTTTCTTGAAGATGGACTTCTGGCAAGCGATGGGCTGCACCTCACAACGGTTGGGAGGAATGTTTTTGCCAAAAATCTCAGAAACCTCATCAGGAGGGCTTTAAACTGACTAATGTGGGGGAGGGAGACAATGCTCCTGAAGGTAGGAGTCTATCAATTGATGAAGATGATCATCCAAATGTCATAGACCAAATGGAGCAAACAGCATGCAGACCTAGTGGTGGGAGGAAAAAATCCTTAAATAAGAGACACGGGGGAATGATTAATGGACTTCAGTGTCTGTACACTAATGCGCAAAGCATGGGAAATAAACAAGATGAGCTTGAGCTCTTGGTACAGCAAACTAAGTATGACATAATAGGCATCACTGAAACCTGGTGGGATAAGTCCCATGATTGGAATGTAATAATGGAGGGATACAATCTATTTAAGAGAAACAGACCAGACAAGAAAGGGGGAGGAGTGGCGTTATATGTCAGGGATGTGTATACCTGTGAAGAGATCCAAGATTTAGAACCTCAAAGCCAAAGTGAGAGCATTTGGGTCAAAATTAAGGGAGAGAAGAATAACAGAGACCTCATTGTGGGAGTTTACTATAGATCCCCAAGCCAAACGGAGGACATAGATGATGCCTTCCTGGAACAGATGGCCAAGCATGCAAAAGGAAGGGAGATAGTAGTAATGGGGGACTTCAATTATCCGGATATTTGTTGGATGTCAAACTCAGCCAAGAGCATAAGGTCAAACAGATTCCTCACTGGCCTTGCAGACAACTTCATTGTCCAGAAAGTGGGAGAAGCAACAAGAGGAACAGCCATTTTAGATCTCGTCCTAACCAATGTTGATGACCTGGTTAGTGGGGTAGAAGTGGAAGGATCATTAGGC